CGAAGACGAGTTGAATGTATCTTGTGAGGTGGCTGGGCGAGCTAAGTACCTATCTGGAGCTAGCAGGGGGCTGCATGACACTAACCGTTTTGAGAAGGATAACAGGGTGAAATAAGAAGTTATAACAGGGTGAATTAAGGTCTCCCCTTGGCAAGTACAGTTCGCGGAGTAACGCTCTTTAAAAGTGGGGGTTGCTCGCGTACATTAGGTACATTAGGTAGGTATTGGGTACCTAATGTACCTACCATTCACATCGCGCATGCGGCATGAGGACGTGATCAACGCGCGAGCATTTCAACAGCTCCATTCTTCTCGCGGCGCTCTCAAGACGCAGTCCCCTCCCACACGTCATCATTATGGCCGGCGCTCTCCTCTCATCGCAGCCATTCTCTGGCGCCGCTGAGACAGTACCCCCTGCTGTGGGCAACTCGCGAAGGTTCAAGGAAGAACAGGACAGGATTATGGCAAAGGTGGCCGACCAGTCTTTCAGTCCCAGTAAGCCTTGTCTGCCACTGTCACTCAATCCTGAACGCTTTCCGTTCTCCATTTTTCGGCGTCAATTTGACCCCAGTAAACCCAAAATACACTGTCGTTGGCTCATTCCACCTTAACTGATACTCTGCGATGCATAGAAAAGTATCATGATCCTCTTATTCCTCGACTGGGCGTGGGGTCTCACTTTCTTAATCAGGGGATCACATTACAAATGGAAAGAGAATGGCTTGTTGAACTTGAGGCGGTGAAGGAGCTGCGTGAGCAGAGAAGCTGAACCCAACCGCCGGGGTCATAACGCATGCGTGGTTTTTTCTACCGTCCTGAGGAAGCTGAGCATTGTGAGGATTACAGATCTGTTCAATACATGAGCTATGTTTCGAGATACGGGATTATAGATGCGATACTGTCTGCCGGTCGAAAACGTTAAAACCCCGTTCCATCCACCGTGACTTCCCGTATCAATAATCGATCTTTCAGCCTCTTTGTCACGTTGTAGCAGTCGAGCATAGTCGGACACGCTGCGCGACAATGAGGACAGCTGACAGCGAATAAGGGATCAAAACTCGGTCACACTACCGAGGGCACAGAGTCAGAACTATGCGATCGCTGAATCGCATACACCGCTACTCTTCAAAGTAGGGCAAAAGAAGAACGAACGGCTCACAGTGGACTGTTCTACATAAGCTCCGTGTCGATTTGGACGGCAATATACTTCATGAGTCTCATTGTGCAGTATCCCCATTGCGTTGCGCAGGTTTCCCAACCGGCGATGTTAGCAATCACTACAGACTCACAGAGTACACCGGGTGCAATTCTCACACGGGCTTCGTGCTGTTATTCTACGCCACCGAGGTCGAGAGTACCTACGCTGGATTCTGAACCAATTGCATCAGCCGTTGCTAGATAGATAGATCGTGAAAAAGCAGTCATCGACGCATTGAGCAAGACGGCGCCCTGAAATGAGTGCTTATTACACATCTATCGATGGGCACGTCAACTCCTCGACCGGGCGCAGCTCATAACCAGGACTGATCTTCCCCTTGAACCGCACGATCCCCTAATCCTCATCAAGGGCAAGGAGAGGCCGGGCGGGATTCTTGGCTAGGGTTCCGATCGCATCCTCGCGCCTTGACGCTGAAAACAGCGCCTTTGGTTCATAGCCAAAAGTGACGTCTTCCGGCTCAGCATTTTCCTGCCCCAGAGGCGTCTGATTGCCCTTTACGACTACGAATCCTTAGGCTACAGGCAAGGCTTCGAAGTGGTCATATAGACGTTCCGTGGTTCACGGAAGTGCGTACGAGGTTGGTACAGAGATGGCCCGCGCGTCTCAACAGACGGCGCCTCTCGTGGTACGACCTAGATTCCTAGATGAACCGGGAGCCATCAGCTTAAGAAGTAGTAGAAATACGGCGACTTCAATTGAAGCTGAGGATGAATGTTGGCATCGACGCGGAAATTTATGCACTGATTGTCGCAGAAGGCGATGGCGTCGGGACTTGGAAGTGTAGGGACGCTGTTGTGAAAGAGAACAAGAACATAAACATCAATACTCAGTTAAGCAGTTTGTCTTCATTTTCAAATTTCATCCGATTATTGACCCTCGAAGTCTGAAGCATTCGTACTCCGTGTATGTACCATCGTCGATGTGCCCACACATTACGACACCTAGCAGTTGAACGCCTTTTACTTGTACTTGATAAACTCTAAATGCTATCCAGAGCCATAACTCGAACAGGCCGTGTGGCTCAATGGCAGAGCGTCTGACTACGACTGCTGCAGTCTGTGCAAAAATGTGTAATCAGAAGGTCGCAGGTTCGACCCCTGTCTCGGTCAAAGACTGCGTTCTTTTTTTTTCAAGGGTCGGGATGATTCCACCGCCCCACCTAAAGGATCCCGATTCCCGGTATGTACTTTTGTACCTATGCATGTACGGAGTACCTACCTAGCTGCAGAGATATTTTTTGGAGAACTCGGAACTTCGGAAATATTGAGTCACGTGACTAAACGGCACTTGTATTTACGAGCTAAACGCACCAAAAGTCATGTACCCTACGAAAGCGGATTGCCATCTGTGGCAGGAGGCTCATTACAAGTGATGGTTTTCGGCGAAGCGAAGCGGAGCATTCTACACACTCGAAGCTCTAAAATCTGGGTGGGAAAGTTATGGAAAAGCATGGCGAAATGATTGGCTCTCGTTGAATCTGCGATATCAGGAAATGATTGGCTCTCGTTGAATGCGCATTCAGCGAGCCCCTTCGCCCATGGCTGTTGTGAGAAACGCATAATAAGGCCCTGAGTCGGAGTGTCTGTTCTGTTCTGTTCTGTTCTAGCAACTGCCAGAAAATGGGATAACGAATTTTCAATTTCCTCATTTGGACGAAAATCCACTTTTCGTTGAGCATTTTCGTCTTGACCCCTGTCGCGATGTACCGCGCTAGAGAGGACTGGCAGGGGACCCTTGATATCGCTCATGATAGGTCAAATGGCACCGCGAGCCCCAGTTATCCGTTCTAGACAGCTTGCCAAACACTTGTACTTTTTCAAAGTACGAGAACGGGGCTTTCTATGCTCTCCAATTGAAAAACTTGCCAGAACGGGGCGTTCTATGCTTTCCAATTGTTTTTTTGGGGTGTCGCGTGTGAGTCTAACTATTCGGCGATGTACCCACCCGACGATGTAGATCCACAAATGTGGGTACTATGATACGTCGACGCCCCTATGGCCACACCCAAGCTGCCACCGGTTGGTCCA